CCCCAAAATGAAAATTCTGTCATTAATTACTCACCCTCATGTCGTTCCAAACCCGTGAGACCTTCGTTCATCATCTGAACACAAATTTAAATATTTTTGATTAAATCAGAGAGCTCTCTGACCCTCCAATAGACAGCAACGCAACTGCAATGTTCCCAGGTCCAGAAACGTAGTAAGGACATTAGCAAAAGCAGTCCATGTGACAGTCCATCAGTGGCTCAACTTCAATTTTGCGAAGCTACGAGAATACTTTTTGTGCGTAAAGAAAACAAAAATAACAATTTATTCAATAATTTTTCTCCCCAGAGTTACGTCTTCAGCTATTTTGGAGAGTACCCAAGAATGTAATCAGCACTGTGTAATGACTGAGGTGAGACCCTTGAGCAAGGCACTGAACCCCCAACAGCTCCCTGGGTGCCTTGCGTTTTTCTGCATTTGAACAATGAAGCGATCCTGGCATGCCACCTGTTCTGTGTTCGAATGTACAGGCTCACAGGCGTCCTTACACAGAAACCCAGCTTCCGAGGCTTAGTGTATCCCATCATGTTGTGGAAATAAATCGTGAGACTTTTTGCCGAGATCTCGTGCAACTGCTTTTATCACTAGAAGCACCACAAAATTAAATTGTCATCTGTTATAGGGACTACTGAACAGACATTTAGAAGTTGATTTTAAAATGCAAAGTATTGAAAATAAAAATAATGCTCTGTAAACACTTTTTTTTACAACACTATAAGTGTGTCCTATCAGGTAATGAAAAGTTCTACACACACTTGTGGTCTTCATGCTCACTTGAACACTTGGACCAAATACAGGAAATACGTCATAGAAGTAGTCAAGTGGTCAAGTGCAAAGACCGCAAGTGTGGGTATTTGGACAAGGCAAAAGTCAGCGCCATTGTTCCTTCCTACTCGGGAGAAATTGCGATTGTGGGAGAAATCGTATTTCCTATCGTGTTCCCCCCTCGTGCTTTGTATGGTGGGTAAACTAAACACACTACTGCAAGAGGAACTGGTAAAGTTTGTAATAGCATGCGATGGCACCATGAGACCAGCTATTTCGTCATTTTTATCTTGCCATGCTCCCGTCTGTGTGATTCATAAACGCGCATTTATTATGCACAGTGCAATCAGATGACTGACTTTTAAACCAAGTACATTTTCTGTAAAGATAACATGCTCGTATTAATAGTGGACTGTTTATTTGCAAAGGACAGCACCAGTATTGCTACAGTACTGTAGCATGAGCTTTTGAAACTCCGCCCTCTTCTCCGGGAGCACCAGCTCATTTGCATTTAAAGGGAAAGACACGAAAACGGCGTGTTTTGGCTCCTACTCTAAAAGTGGCAATTTTAACAAACTATAAAAAATTATCTGTAGGGTATTTTGAGCTAAAACTTCACATACACACTCTGGGGACATCAGAGACTTATTTAACATCTTGTAAAAAGGGCATAATAGGTCACCTTTAAAGAGGTCATGAACTGCCATTTTTATTATTTTGCACTGTTCTCTGAGGTCCCCTTATAATGTTATCAACACTTTTACATCAAAATACATAACTAAGAAGGCTATTTTCTGTCCTGTTTTGACACCGCTCATCAGAACGCTCTGTTTGAATAGGCGTGGCAGATTGTAGACTTGGAAGAAAACGCCCACTGCTATGATTGGCTAGCAGTTGTGTATGTTTGACAGCCTACATCCTTCACAGATGGACACTGCTGTGATTTAGGTTAAAAATGCATACATTAAATACTCAGTTCATATCAAATGATCTGTAATAACAGACAAAGCAATAGTGATCACTTAATAAAAACAGTTACACTTGTGTGTTGCGACATTACTGTCGGATCCAATAGTCGGCACAGCATCGTCTGTTAGTTTCAATCTTTCTGAAAATCCTGCATCGAATTGTGCTCTGTTTGTAAAAGAATCTGCGGTAAAATGAAGTGAACAAAGGACCAAGTTAAAAATACAGTTTATCCACTCTTTCCTAATGTTGGGATCAGAAGGAGGGCAATGCAAAGACTGTGTTTTTCCACAACTTGGCACTGCACAGTGTCTTGTTGCCTTCGAAGCCATCTTTATCTTTTTATTTCTGCGTAGACCTGCATTTGCCGCCCTCGTTAATTCCACCACATACGTGAACCGATGGGCGGGGCTAAACAGGCAGCGATGTAGAAGCAGGTGTTGATCTTCTTCTATACGGAAGTGGTGTTTAGCCGCACTAGTACGTCATAAAGTGGCACATTCCACAACCTGTCATTTTGGTACCTGCCTCTGATGTTTCATTGTCATGGTCCAGAGCCTCGATCACCAGAGAAAACGATTTCTAGACAAAGGAAAATAAACAAGGAAATGCATGTCAGTGCTTTTTATATAGCAACATGTACACGATACACCAAAAATGCTAAAACAATCCTGCAAATGCAGTAGAAATAATACATAATATAGGGTAGTGTCTCAGTTTCTCAGAATTCAGTTTGGTTTGTTCACCATTTTATCATCAATCATATAAAAATCCTAATTTGGATTGCTTAGAAAAGTAACAGTGCGGTCTGCAAAATAAGTCACATGACTTGAGCAAATAAGGGACGAATTATGTGCCAAAGTTTAATAATTCGCTTGTGAAAAAGAAGTGTGCATAATTGTACTGAATATGCACTTGCAGTGTATTTCAAATCATAAAAAGTATATTTAAAAAAAAAAAAACTGTACAAATAATCTTGCATATAATATAATATTAGTGAAATGAAATGCCACTTAAGAGAGTAGACTTTCAGGACTGTTTCTTAAACACAAGTTTCTTAAGCACACTTTAAAAAGTGCAAACTAAAAGTTTTAAAGTATATATTAAATCATTATGTTGAAATAATATGTTGTTGTGCTTTAAAGAATTACACAAGAATTACATACTAACGCACATATAAAGTACTTGATTATAATTTTACCTGTAGTGTGTTATTCAATATTACATTTAAAGTTAAGGTATTTTAAATGTACTAAATTACGACTCCATTACAAATGCGGAATTACAAATATATTTTAATACATTATTTAAAAGCTTCAATAAATATATATATATTTTAGTTTGCCAGAAATGTGTGTAAGTACACAACCATATTTCAAAGGCAAGAAGTAATTGTGAAATTACATAAAGTTGTACTATTTAAATGGGTCAAAAAAGCACTCTAAATTTCAGATAATTGCATTTAATATAAAATTTAATTATAATACGTTTTTCATTTAATTGCAAATAACATGCAATTAAGTGTCTGAAAACGTTATATTTATTTCACACAAGTATAGTCTTTTTTTTTGGTCACACTTTATTTTAAGGTCCAATTCTCACTATTAACAAACAATTAATTATGACTTTTGCCTCAATAAACTCCTAATATGCTGCTTGTTAATAGTTAGTAAGGTAGTTGTTAAGTTTAAGTATTGGGTAGGATTAGGGTTGTAGACTATGGTCATGCAGAATATGTGCTTTATAAGTACTAATAAACAACCTATATGTTAATAATATAGGCATGCTAATTTAATAGTGAGAATTGGTCCCTTGTTACAGTTTTTTCAGTAATAATAAAAGCATGCTAAACTGTACTTCTTTTTCACAAGGGGTTAAGGGTTTGTTCTATAGTAAACACCACCAATAAAGTACAGATGTGTTTGTGATGTGCTTTTCATGCTGAAATTTGCTACTGGATCTCATGGTTTGAGCTTTTCCTCTGATAGCTACATCTCTAAAGTCCAGTGGGGGAACAGATGGTGACACTGAAAACAACAGAAATCCCAGTAAACAGAAGAATGTCACCATTGATTCGCGGCAGCACTGAGACCAAGCCTCTCTGCAGACTAAATACAGTACCAATCATCCCCAGACAACTGACAGCCATGAGTACTTAAACAAATAGAACACTTCAAACACTATTGAACAAGCGGCTGCAAGATCACAACGTGATTTAAAAGGGGAGCTGACAAATTCATGAGAGCATCAATGAGTAGAAAAAGACAGACGGGACGAAGAAAAAAAAGAGAGGAGGACAATTTTCGTCTTCCTCCCTGTGTCCCCTAAATGAATAATTCAAAGCCACACTCTCGTTCTCCAGTGAGAGGTCCAAACCCTGCCATGCAAATGACGCAGCTGCAGCATTCTGGGTAGCGAAACTCTAAAAGGCAGCGTGGATGTACGGTCACGCCTGTCTCGTAAGTGGCCACCACAGAGGAGAGGAGTGGAGCTGAGCAAGGGACAGAGAGAGAAGACATGAGAGGCGTAGGAACGATTGGCACAAGTGAGGGAGCTTGATAAAAGTGCTGTTATAAGGGTTGAGAGAACATGATTCAGTGATTGAATGACTGACTGGGAAACGGACATGAAATGAAGAAGAATTGCTTCATGTGACTGAAAAGCATCTTGCATTAAATACACACAACAGCGCTTAAGCTTCATAATTAAATTCCTGATTCAACAGCACATGCATAAAAAACTGACTTCAATTGCCGCAGCTCAAACGATAAAAGCTCTTCCATGTAAATGTGAGTTTTTGTCACTAGCCGTGATTGTGACAATTAGCATTCCCATATCCATTAGCATTTCCACTCATCTCAATGGCAGGTGCTTGACTAGCACTATATTTAAATATTATTATATGAAAATATAAGTCACATGACTTCTTGCTAATACATTTAGTTCAATAATGTTTATTCAGAATACACTGCTATTTTGAAATGATCATCAATGCTGGAAGATGTGTTTCAACCCTGAATGGTGTACTAACAGTTTCTCGCATTAAACATAATGAGGTCAAGTGACAATGTAGCGTTTGAAAGGTTTCTCATGGAAAAATGCCTACTACTCACTATTTTAAAGGTTTATTCAGTGGTTAGTAGTTAACAACTACTGTTTACTTACTATTTTAAATGTTCATTTAGCAGTTCAGTAATTAAAAATATAGAGTCATCTGAATGGTATACACTCAAGAACATACATACTCAAAATAGTTTTCTATAAAAAAGTGTTTTAGTTATGTAGATGCAGTTCACCCTCCTTCAAGGGATAGTTCATCCAAAAATGAACATTCTGTCATCATTTACTCACCTTCTATGTGGAAGCCCGCTTCCGCCACTGAATAAAAAATAAAAAAGGTAATTGCAAGTTTTTATCACAATTTTGACTTTTTTTCAGAATTGCATAATACAAACTCACAATTCTGCCTTTTTTCTTGCAAATGCGAGTTTATATCTCACAATTCTGCCTTTTTTTTCTCAGAATTGTGAGATATATACTCGGAGTTGTGAGTTCTAAAATCTAATTCTTAGGGGGAAAAAGACATATGTTCTCAGAACTGCGAGTTTAGGCTATATCTCACAATTCTGACTTAATAACTCGTAATTGCATTTTATAAAGCCAGAACTCGCAATTCTGAGAAAAGTCACAATTTCGAGATCAAAACTCATAATTCTGAAAAATTCTGAGTTTATATCTCCCAATTCTGACTTTCTCCGAATTGCGACTTTATTTCTCAGAATTGCAAGTTTAAATCTCGCAATTGCGAGTTTATATCATGCAATACTGACATTATAACTTGCAACTGTACATTTAAATTTCGCAATTCTGAGTTTTTTCTCACAATTGTGAGTTTTTGTCATGTAATACTGGCTTTATGACTCACAACTGCAAGATTATATCATGCAGTTCTGAGAGAAATGTCAGAACTGCGAGTTTATATCTCATAATTCTGACTTTATAACTCCCAATTGCGAGTTTATATATCATATCTCTGAGAAAAAATGTCAGAATTGCGAGGGTTTTTTTATCATGCAATTTTGAGAAAAAAGCACGAATTACAAGATTAAACTCGTAATTGTGAGAAAAAAAGCCAAAATTGTGAGATAAAAACTCGCAATTACCTTTTTTTTTGTCAGTGGCGGAAACGGGCTTCCATACCATCATGTTGTTCCAAACCTGTATGAGATTTCTTCTGTTGAACATAAAAGAAGATATTTTGAAGAATATGGGGAGCCAAACAGTTGATGGACCCCACTAACCTCCATATTATATATATATACAGTGGGTACGGAAAGTATTCAGACCCCGTACCCACTGTATATATATATATATATATATATATATATTACAATGGAAGTCAATGGGAACCATCAACTGTTTGGTTATACAATTTCTTAAAAATATCCTTTTTGCGTGTGTTCACAAGAAAGAAATGTATACAGGTTTGGAACAATTTGAGGTTGAGCAAATTAGGATTTTTTAGTTTAACTACATACAACTATAGATACATTATCTGTTTAATGTATTTTGTCAGTCCTCATGCTCATTGGCTGCTAATAGATTAAAAAAAACTACTGAAAATGCCTTTAAAAAATAGTAGGCAGTATACACAGTGTATACTATACAATGCAGTATTACTGCTCCACCTAAATCTCATTGGTCTAAAATCCTGCTCCGCACAACTATTAATCATATACATTATGTTGTATTACAGCATCGCACAGCACTTTTTGCTTTCTGTGTGGACAATCAAATTACTTGTTGCTAAAACCTCTCATATATTTCCTGGTAAGAACACAATCTACAAACTAAGTATAAATCAGTATAAAACAACAGTACGACAGGTATGTGTTAGCTAATGCTAAGTATCTTATAAATGTTTCATATAATAAGCTAACAGTCATTACACAATGTAAACAACATGTTTCACATCCTTAATGCCCACTTCAGAGACAAAGACAGCACTGAGATGAAAACACATTTGCACTTTATTACTCCAGAGATCTGATTTGTGTTGTAACAGCACATACACAATCTCTCTCACACATATTTGCTCACTCAAATGAGTAATAGCTTTCCACAATTGCTCTTCACAACAGCACTCTTAAAAATAACATTCGAAACATTCACAGCACCCACACCCTTAAATAAACAACCAGAACAAAGGCAAATTTCTCAGACACACAAACAAAAATGTCCACCTACAGTGGTCCCCTCTTAGGCCCTGGAGCCCTCTCTCAGCCTCCTGCAATGAGATAACCCAAACCACTCAAGCTCAGTGTTTGACACCCTCACACACACACGCATGCATGCACAAGCAAGCCTTATGCCGAGTTCAC